ATCCTCAACCAAACTTAGAAAGCACATAGCTACTATGTCTACAGTTCTCAATATGAAAGAGAATGAGATGGACATACTTGCCAACTTCCTCGGCCATGACATTCGCATCCACAGGCAATATTACAGACTACCAGAGGGGACACTGGAGCTGGCCAAAATCAGCAAAGTGTTGATGGCCATGGAGCAGGGAAGAGTGACGGAATTCGAAGGAAAGAGCCTCGACCAGATACAAATTGAGCCTGAAGGTAATTCTTGATATTATTAAAATATGTATGATTTTTTTCCCCTAAAGGCCACTTGTATTTTTATTTTCTGTGCGACAGGGAGAGCAGTAGAGATCCTCTCACAAACGGACGGGCTAAAAGAAACTTCAAGCGGAGAACCTTCAACCATTCATCCAGATGCACCCCATGGTAGTGGCAGTGCCCCTTCTGGTAAGTGTACCAGGTGGGGGATTACAGCCAGGCTGCTTGGTCCTCACCCTGGGAGTGTATATTGCTAATATATTTTTATTTCTCTCCCTAGAACGTGTAAGAAAGCCATGGTCTGCATCTGAGGTGAAGGCTGTGGAGAAGACCATGACACCTTTCATACAGACTGGAAAGGTCCCTGGGAAGTCTCACTGCCTGGCCTGCATTAATGCCTCACCAGATGACCTTAGACATCGGACATGGAGTGGCATTAAATTCTATGTCAAAAATAGAATCACTGCAATTCGAAAACAAAATCTAAAATAAAATTCCTTTAAAATAGTTGTTTGGTTTCTATTGACTGTTTTGTATTACTTAAAGTCTTGGTAAAAAAAGATTATGTCTATGGGTCCCATTCTGAACGGCCCTGTCAAAGGGACCCACCAGGTAACAAAAACGTGTATGTGTGTGTGTGTGTGTGTGTGTGTGTGTGTGTGTGTGTGTGTGTGTGTGTGTGTGTGTGTGTGTAGGCTACCGGCTCCGTCTCTTTGTTCAAATAGTGTTTTTATTGTCAGAAGCAGCAGCTGTGTCCACTACCTGCTCCTGTCCTTGATAGCAGCCACAGTAGTTCATTTGTTATTGTGTTTAAGCAGTTTATGTAGACAAAAGTGATGCCACAAAACTAACAATAATAACTTTGATCCAGATTCATTTATTTGCCATTTGCAGTAAAACCACATAGGAAAAACTGTGCAAGACTACCCCAGTGTGCACCAGACGACACACACCAGAGCTCCAGTTCACTTATTCGACTTTGACCAATAAAATGTTCATTTTGTGTTATTTTTATAATCAACATATTTGCAAAGTCCTTTTAGAACATTTATGTGTAGATTCCACACAAACATATTTTGATTTTAATTTAATTTAATTTAAGAAATACATCATTAAGATTGTATTCTGATCTCTCTAAAACTATTCCCGTTAGGTAAATGTCCACTTATATAAAGTTATCTATAACAATGACCTGTGGCCTTACCTGAATGTGAAAGCCAAATCCCGTCAGACCTAAGCAGGGCAGTGCCTGGTTAGTACCGTGATGGGAGACCTCTAGTAACACCAGGTGCTATAGTTAGGCGGCTGCGGCTGTAATGTCACTTTACCCACATTGCCTAGAATGAGTCTGGTGTGTGTGTGTGAATGTTTGGTGGTGGTCAGAGGGGCTCACACAGGGCACTTTAGCAAGGCACCATATGAAAAAAGTCAGAGGGGCTTATGGCACATACTGGTTGCCTCGCTTCTGTCAGTGTGCCCCAGGGCAGCTGTAGCTATAACAATATGTTATCACCACCCTGTTTGAAGCGCATGAAGAATGATGTGAGTATCCAAAAAAGCGTTATATGAAAGCCGATGCAGTATATTATTCATAGGATTTTTGACTCGCCCAATATTGCGACGGTTTGCATATTTCCTGATGTAATATGTGTAATGGATGAAATCATGGGGCGTTTCAGGCCTCAAACTGCTCTGACGTAACTGATCCTCACTCATGTCCACGTCCCATCAGGCAGCGGCTCCAGGGTACCTTTATCATGATGGAATGTCTCGAAGGCTCAGACGATATTAAACGTCTGGGCTCCGGCCAGGGAATGCTCACTGGCTGCACAACCGTGGGTCTGGTGCAGAAAAGACGCATTCATGGCTTTCATCAGGCTGCATCTCTGAGGCACAGGCTCTGTTGGAGCTGGAGGAGGCCAGTGAGATGCTCCAAATACAGTTGAGCTGAGTTTGATCTTGTGACGTCGAGTTTGTGATGTAATTATTTTGTGATTCAGTGATGTGTCAGTGATGATCAGGTTTATCTATTTGTAAATGTAAAACTTCACTAAATGAATCATCGGTGACTATGCTTTAATAATGTGGACTCTCATTCGTCGTTAGCTCAAAAATGTTATTAAAAAAGACTTAGCAAACCAATTTTCTGCTTAAGTTAGCTCTAAAGGTGTGTGTTTACAGAATGATTTCCTCAGTTGGAAACATTGACTCGTGTGGGACAAGATTGTGACACAAAGTCTGCTGATTCAGAAGAGTTAAGCCTCAATGAGCTCATCCAGAAATGCAGTTTTTCATGTTTTATGTGAGAAATGATCCTGAAAACTTTAATGTTTCCTATTCTCTGAAAATTTTTTGATATCCAACGTCAGAAAAAGATGCTGTTTGGTTCACCTGACCTCACAGATGTGTGTGTTATTGTAGACCTCTCAAACCTCTGACCCGCCTGGTGCTTTTTGATGGTGAACGACAGTCTCTGCTTTATCGAGTATTTGTTTGTAACTAGTTTGAATTGGCTTGTATTATTATACCTGTGTAATAGTTATGTTTTTATGACGCAAGTGCAATAATTAACATTTGAAAATGGCCACATTGCAACTGTGAGGTGAAACATGTCTAAATACAATGTGCTTCGAACCGTCTTCTGTCTTTCATAAGTGTGTGTGTGTATGTCTGTGAGTGCGTGTGTGTGTCTCTCTCTGTTTGTGTGTGTGTGTGTGTGTGTGCGTAGCTTTTTTAAGTGAAGCGTGCTGTCTGGTTCAGGTCAGGTGATGTGTTTTCTTCACTTTGGGTAAAAATGTAAAGGTTTTGCCACATATCATATGATCCCTGTTACAATTCAGTTATGCCGTTTGTTAACCATTGAGTTTTTATCGGTTTGTTTTTTGCGCAGTTCTTTCATATTTTCAGACTCCGAAGACAATACTGGCCATTATGCTTGCACTGATGTGTTGCTGAATTTTAATTTCATTTTGTTATAAATAGAAGAATTAACGGTGGCCTGCTCTGCACTCTGTATTTGGACAGTGTCGACCGCGGCCTGTCATTTACTGTCACAGAGTTGCTTCCTCTTATCAGCAAAAAAGGAAATGTGCTTTTTGTGGTGCGTGGTGATAATTTTTTTTTACATGTTAAACCTTAGTTTAACATGTAAAAAGACACTGGCCTATCAAGAACCATGTCACGTCAGTTGTATTCAGTTGTGTTCAGTTCCTTTGTCTATCTGAAAAAGCGTCTCTCTTAACAGTGCTTTTCCTCAGAAGCCGGAGTAATTGCTGTTCTGACCCGGCACTTCCTTTTGCAGGGTGGAGCAGCAGGAATTTGTACTACAATTTTGCTTACTCCCTAAAGATTTTATGAAAGAGTTAATCCTCTTTAAATATCAAATGAATAACAATAACAATTCCGTGCATATTTCTAGTTTACAACCAGAGTTCTTAGTCTATTAACAGAAAGATGAAAGTGCTGTGAGCTTTGTTGCCTCCAAACTCCTGAATCAGCTTTACATCATTAAGCACCTTTCCTTGAGTCCAACAAAGCATGCAAACATTCACGCAGGATAAACAGGAAATGCTGCCCCCCAGCTGAATCATGGCTGCAGCTTTCCGATGGCTCAGATGCCCTTTTATGGCGGTGGAGGGAGTTTTGAAACAGGAAATGACATCACAACATATGAGTGGGAATCTCAGTCATTCCATGGTGCAGACAGGCCCAAGTTTGTCTGTGAAAGTGCGATATCAGCTCTCGGCTTCTGCGTTTCATGTGTGACAGAAGTGAATGAGAATGTGACTTTATGTGGTGTTAGTGCATTCCTGTTAAGGTGACGAGTGAGCAGGCATAGCAAGTTTATTTGTTTAGCACAACTCATACACAAGGCAAGTCAAAGTGCTGAGTAGTCTGTTTTGAGATTCAATCCTCCCTCAACGTGCTCCATGCGCTTTCACTTCAACGTAAATATTCAAATAAATACGCTATAACCGGCTATTTTTTTATTGCTTATTTCATTTTGATTTATTGATCTCGTCTGACTCAACCACTGAGTTTAGACATATTTGCAATAATTCATTTCCATCTCATTAAAGGGAAAGAAGGCTCTTTTTAAACGTGTGACGATTCCACAAAGTGTGTGAGAACTTGAAGTAGTTCTAATTATATTGAGTATTAATATGTTATAAAATATGATTCGTGTGAGGGGACCATCTTACATTAAACTTGATATAAGTATAAAACAAAACTTTTTCACTCATGAGGAGCGAAATTGAAAAAAGACTAAACTTACTGCCTCCAACAGCAAACTGACACTGAAATGTTCCTACTGTGGGATGAATGAAGGATCTCTTAATTTTAATCTCTGTCTTAAATTGCATAGAAAACTTTGAGGACAATATGGAACATCTGTTGTTTTTTTTTTCTTCTAAAATGATAATAATAATAATTTTATCCGTATTGCACCTTACATTTCCAGGAAACCTCAAAGTGATCTTAAGGACTATTTTTCCATTTGAACGACTTTTACATCGTGAACTAAATAATCCAGATTATCGGTTCACCTAATCATCTTTACGTCTGTCAAGAAATGGCGACAAGGCAGCAGCGATTGGACCGTAACATGGTTTATTTTAGAGTTCCTCCAGATCGAACAAGAGGAGACCAGGCTTTTTATGATTTGTATCAATGTGCCGTAGACGTCATCACTTCTTCATAAGTAATATATTTATAATAATTGTATAGTAATGGTTGGAGGTGTTTGTGTTGCAGAGTGACTCGGGTGGAGGAGCAGAGCAGCAAACATGGTGGCCCTGTCCCTGAAGATCGGCGTGGGCAACGTGGTGAAGACGATGCAGTTTGAGCCGTCCACCATGGTGTACGACGCCTGTCGCATCATCAGAGAGAGGGTCCCTGAGGCGCAGCTCGGGCAGCGTGAGTCCATAGCCGCTCACTGCAATCATTGTCATCCTTTTTCTGCTGCTTTACCCATTGCCGGGTCGCGGTGGCAGCAGCTTAAACAGAGATGCCCAGACTTCCCTATACAGTACACACTTCCTGCAGCTCATCCGGGCCAGCGGAGACACAGTTATTAGTATTTAATGATACTATTATCAAACAGGAACAACTTTGACTTTCATTCTAATGTTCTGTGTTCATGAGTTTATCAATGCAATCCAATGTACTTCCTGTGTGGCATATATTTGACAGTGCTCTCAGCGTTAGTGGTGGGGATTTTGAACTTTACAATCCAGTGTAAATAATGCAATGATAAACTATTGATTAGACAGTGTGTTGACAAGATGTACATTATATACAACATAGATACACATACTGTATACTATGATAACTGTTAAAATTATGTGTACAATTCGAGACATTGCTAAACCTTTTTATTGTATTTACCTCTGTGAGCATTTTGACTGAGTTAGTTTTAAGTAGAGATAAAACTTATGCAAACAACCTGTAATTTTCCCCATCCTAAATTTAGTTCAAGTTGTTTTAATCCACAATCAAAGCAGTAATGTGTGAAGGTTTTAGCAACTTGTCTGACTTCAATAGCTACTGTAGCTAATTACATTTGTTTATAGTTGTTCTTGATTATATGGAAAAGAACATGTCTAAAAACCTAGTAGCAAAATAACAATCGTTGTACACATTGAAGGTCTTATTTGTAATCATTGAAACTCAACGCATCACACATTTGTATATATTTGTTATAAAACAGCCTTCCTCTCCCATGTTTCATTGGATTTCTATGTTTGTTTTACTCCGACATGTTCAAACATGCGTGTGCAGCTCACAGACCGACTGCTCCGTTTGTCCTGCACCTTATCCTGATCATGAGAGATGCTTGTTCTCCATTCTGCTCATAGTTCTTACTTATTTTGTACTTTTTGAATCCTTTTTTTTAGCAAATGACTACGGCCTCTTTCTGTCTGATGAAGACCCAAAGAAAGGCATTTGGCTGGAGGCTGGAAAGGCCCTTGATTACTACATGTTGAGGAATGGCGTGAGTCACACACATCCAAACAGCTGTGATGTCACTGGCTATTTCAATTTACAGCAGAAACCATACACTACGGACTGTGTGATTAGTCTGATCGGATACTTCTTTACTTTCAGGAACATAGACTATTAACTGTCACAAATGATTTGTTAACATATTTGTTCAATACTTTCTGAGCTATGTTTTTTTTTTACGGACCGTTTCATATAATAATAATGTTTTATGCATGACAAATTTTTATTATCATTCACTACACTACACTACTATGATCAATCAATACTCCATATGTATATGTTTTGCAAGAAGTACCAAATCTGTGTACCTGTTCTTGTGTAGGACACTTTAGAATACAAGAAGAAGCAGAGGCCCCTGAAGATCCGCATGTTGGACGGCACAGTGAAGACGGTGATGGTGGATGACTCCAAAATCGTCAGCGACATGCTCATGACCATTTGTGCGCGTATAGGCAAGTCTATTTTCACTCATCACTAGTGTTGTCAATGGTTACAAGCCAATCTAATAAAGATAGATCATTGGCGACACAGTGGCTGAGTGGTTAGCACTCTCACCTCTCAAAAAGAAGGTCCTGGGTTTGAATTATGGTCAGAACACGGTCTTTCTGAGCGGAGTTTGCCAGTTATCCACGTCTCTGTGTAGGTTTTCTCCGGGTGCTCCGGTTTCCCCTGCCACTAAAACATGTAATGAGTGAATGGATGGTCTTGGTTGGGGGCTTTGATGCACCAGTGTTTTTGGCGTCTCTCTGTCATCACCGTGTGTGAAGAGAATGGAACAATATCTGAACTCTCAACATTGTAAAGCGCTTTGGGTGACCTTGGTCGGTAAAAATGCGCTATATAAATAAAGATTACTTACTTACTATAGATCAAAGTCGTGTTAATCATGGATGAATCATAAACTAACATTTTTTTAAAGTAAACATGGTACAATAATCTTTTTTTTTTTCACAGGAATTACAAACTATGATGAGTATTCACTGGTGCATGACATCGGGGAGGAGAAGAAAGAGGAGAACACTGGCACTCTGAAAAGAGACAAGACCTTACTACGAGATGACAAGAAGATGGAAAAACTGAAGCAAAAGTTACACACAGATGATGAGTGTAAGGATGCAATAGGACAAACAATACATGCATTTGAATACGACGCCAACTGTGTTTTTACATTGTTGAATAGTAAACTGGTTGGACCATGGACGAACACTGAGGGAACAAGGTGTGGAGGAAACTGAGATGCTGCTGCTCAGAAGAAAGTTCTTTTACTCGGATCAGAACGTGGACTCTCGAGACCCGGTGCAGCTGAACCTGCTCTATGTGCAGGTACTGGACCACAATCTGTCACAATCAATGTTGAATTTAACTGGAATAAAATGTGGCGCGTGTGTGTGTCAGGCTCGCGACGACATTCTCAACGGTTCCCATCCAGTCTCCTTTGACAAAGCGTGTGAGTTTGCTGGTTACCAGTGTCAGATCCAGTTTGGGGACCACAATGAGTCTAAACATAAACCAGGATTCTTAGAGTAAGTTCCACTATTCTCTTGTATTTCTTTGTCAGTCATGTTATAGTTCAATTTCTGTTTTTCAGTTTGAAAGAATTCCTTCCCAAAGAGTACATCAAGCACAAAGGAGAGAGGAAGATCTTTCAGGTGTGAGCTGTGATATATGTGTGTGCGCCCCGAGAAATAAAAGCCTCTTTTCCAACAGTATGACCTTTTTCTTGTTTCTGCAGGCACATAAAAATAGTCAGAATATGACAGAAATTGAAGCCAAAGTTAGTTATGTGAAGCTGGCCAGGTCCCTAAAAACATACGGAGTATCATTCTTTTTAGTCAAGGTAAGCAATGCTAACGGGCAGAGTAAATACATAATGTAAATGTTATGTTATTATACCGATATTTCATACAAACCTTTTACTTTAAAGCTCTGAGGGTTTCATAATGCTGTCTCCAATAGGAAAAAATGAAAGGAAAGAACAAGCTTGTTCCTCGGCTGCTGGGCATCACAAAAGAGAGCGTGATGAGAGTGGACGAGAAGACCAAAGAAGTCATTCAGGAGTGGAACTTGACCAACATCAAACGCTGGGCGGCCTCGCCCAAAAGTTTTACTTTGGTAACTGTCAGTTTCAATGCGTCCTAATGTTATGGCTATAACTCTTACACATGTTCATGGCCAAAAACAAAGTCTCATTATTATTAGTCAGAACATTCCAGGTCAAACATTTTTTTCTTTTTTTTCTCAAATTTAAATTTAGATTTGTTTTCTGATTTCAGGACTTTGGGGACTATCAGGATGGATATTATTCTGTCCAAACTACTGAGGGGGAACAAATAGCTCAGCTAATTGCAGGATATATTGATATCATTCTTAAAAAGGTAATTCTAATTGCAATAATGAACTCCAATTACAATAATAATTAAGTAGTGTTTTTAAAACATGCTTTATCTTTGATTACACAGAAAAAAAGCAAAGATCACTTTGGGTTGGAAGGAGATGAAGAATCGACCATGTTGGAGGATTCAGTGTCTCCTAAAAAGTTTGTTCTCCTACTCTCTCTATGGGTTAAATCAAGATATGATTTGATTAATAAATATAATAATTATTTATCCCTCATTGTGCTACTGTATAATTATTTCAGGTCTACAGTGTTACAACAACAATTTAACAAAGTGGGAAGAGTAGAAACTGGTTCTGTTGCGTTGCCTGCGATCATGCGCTCTGGAGCTGGGGGTCCGGAGAGCTTTCAGATGGGCTCCATGCCACAGGCCAAACAGCACATCACCAGTGGACAGATGCACAGAGGGCACATGCCTCCTCTGGTAAATCACATTTTCTCTCAAATAACTGATAATGTGTTGACAAACTACTTGAAACCGTACATAAAATATTTCATTATAACAGACATCAGCTCAGCAAGCCCTGACCGGAACCATCAATTCCAGTATGAATGCGGTCCAGGCCGCTCAGGCGTCTCTGGATGATTTTGATACCTTGCCTCCATTAGGGACCGATGCTGTAAGACCTCACTCTGTTTATTGGTGGTTTTGCTGTATTTGATTCTACATCCTGTCTTTGAAATTCATGTTTTCATTTTTAGGCATCTCAAGCTTGGAGGAAAAACAAAATGGATGAGTCAAAACACGAGATCCATTCTCAGGTGGATGCCATCACAGCAGGCACTGCCTCGATGGTTAACCTCACTGCAGGTTCGGCTGCAGAACTCTAGGATCAGGATCAGCAGGAATCAGACATCAATGTTATTTTGATGTTATTTTGTTCCTTCTTGTCTTCAGGAGACCCCTCGGAAACAGACTACACTGCAGTGGGCTGTGCTGTTACCACGATATCCTCAAATCTCACCGAGATGTCGAAGGGCGTGAAGCTGCTCGCGGCCCTCATGGACGATGAAGGAGCAAACGGTCAGCAGCTGCTTGGCGCTGCTAAGAACCTGGCATGTGCTGTGTCTGACATGCTGAAGACTGCGCAGCCCGCCAACACAGAGGTAGACTGAGACGGAGCTGTTGTCTTCAGCTTTCATCCTGTATTCAATATAATGTTTGTTTTTTGTTTTTTCAGCCTCGTCAGAATTTGCTCCAAGCTGCTGGAAACGTGGGTCAGGCCAGTGGAGAACTGTTGTCGCACATTGGAGAAACAGACACTGATCCTCAGTTCCAGGTAAACTTTCATCACTGAAGCTGTAAAAGAGATCCTGAACAGTGCTTTGTATTCACTTAATCTGAATAAAAAGCATTTA